ACCTAATAAATGAATAAGACATATTGGATGTAGTTTTTCATCATTTAATAAGCCGGAATGACGCTACTACCGACTTGGAAAGATATTCCAAAAGGGAACTTTTTATAGTAAAGGTTTATAATATTAAGATAAGGTTGATTCTATGGTACTCATAAGGTACCATACTTTTGTCCAAATGGATCAATGAGAATGTAGCAGTTGAATTATTTAAATGTAAATTAAAAATGATAAAGTGATGTGGTCCAATCAAATGAATGGTAGGTACAGTACTCCATTTTTTAGGAGGGTACCGGAGTTGTCACCTTAAGATAATAGGTACATGCAAAACATACCATTTGGATTGATCGCAAGTCCTCTAAATAGATATAAAGTCACTCACCATAAAAAAACAATATTACACATCTTTATATAGTAAAGCCCAGTTATAAATTGCCGACATGTCACTCTATTATTGGTTAACAAAAATATTTATTCTCACGGTTTTTGAAAACATTAGACACTCCATTGACTACGATTCTACTCTAGATATATTCTCAAGGACTCTGCGAGATCTTTGAAAATACAATACGGCATTTACGGGAATCCAATTTCAGTGTAATTTGGATTTTGGAGACATTAAAACCCACTAGGATTCTAATTTAAAATACATTTAATACATACCATCCCACTAGGAGAAAAATGTAATTCATATATATTAGGGGAGAATAATTTAAATATCTCAAACTTTAATGCGGTGTCAGATAAGTAACTCAAACTTGCATATGTAATTTATATATTATGAACTTTATATAAAAGGATATTTTCACACAATGATCATATGTTTTTTACAAATACAAATTTATTGGAATAATTACATAATTTAAAATACTCAAAGCTTTGTCAAGATGCAGTTAATAACATTCTAAAATTTCATTTGTGAAATAAATAATATACTTCATGTACATCTATAGTTTTATATAGTAACTTGGGTTAAAAACAACTGAGGTGCCAATCTGTTATATGCTAACAAAAATAATTAATATCACTACTTAAATATTACAAAATACATACGAAAAACACTCCCAATATTTTCAATGCTATCAAACACGTAATAATAGGGCTTTGACTTTTCAATGCTTATCAAGAGTTTAGCAAATGAAATTTGAATGCATTTATAATATAGGAATTTTAATTTTATCAATTCAGGACCCGAAAGATAGATGAATTAACAATCCGAGGTCTGAATAACAATAATAATGTACTCTCATTCATCCCAATTTTTTTATTTAAAAAAAATGGTTTACGAGGTTGATTACAAAAATTATATATTTACAAACTATATTAAAAGTTCTATTGAAACACAAATGATCACATATCTAAAATGATTACAAATCTACAATCAAAATTAGAGGAATAATAAAATGATATTGTATTAACCAAGAAAAGTAAACTAAAATAATTTTGTGATGGAAAAATGGGGAGATGTGTTGTGTTAGTCCCGTAGCTTTTGAGCATATTTGCGAGTCCGGTAACTTTTGAGCGTATTATTTGTTATTAATCATGTAACTTTACTCTCTTTTTTTTTTGGATGAAATGTAAATATGTATTAACACCCAAAGAAAACCTATACATCAAAGGGTTCTAGATCTCCTAAAAACCCCCCACCCCTACCTAGTGTAGGGGTTAAAGGAGGTTTTAATTTGATCTATCAAAGTTCAAAATCAAATAGGCCTTAGTACATAATACCAAGCTGCCCCTAACAAAAATACATCGGTGCTGCCCAAAATGCACGCACACAGATCATAGTAGTTCAGGTCAAGCTAAGGACCAAATGTGCAAAAACTTCAAAAAATTGCCATGTGCAACTTCGTGAATGGCGCATCCTCCTCAACTGTAAGGTGGCCTCCCAGCCTCAAAACTTGATCAAGTCATGTGGGTACAAGGAAAACAATATCTTATACACCACATGTTTAATCTTCGAAATAATTTCCTCTTCGGTCTTCACGCAGTCATCAAATCTACAAGCGTTTCTTGCCCGCCATATGTGATATGCTGCGGCGCAAAAGGCGAGTCGGACTGCTTTGGCCTTCAGGGTTGAGCCTTTATGCTTCTTGAGAATCCACTTGACCGAACTTTGCAGGGTGGTCATCTGGTTGTCCATGCCCATCCATTCCCTAATCTTTCTCCATATCCTGCAAGTGAAAGGACAAAGAAAAAATAGGTGTGGCATTGTTTCCAAGTCACCCTTGCAAAGGTCACATCTGTTAACAATATGCAAATATCCAAGGCTATCCTGGGTAGGTAGCCTATTTCTAAATGCGAGCCAAGTCATGAAAGAGAACCTAGGGGGTATATAAGATTTCCAAATAAAGCTCATCCACACCCTAACCGTTCCTTTAATCCTCAATAATTCATAAACTTTGCTAGAAATTAGTTTGCCATTAACAGATCTAGAGGCTAGCCCAAGGATGGTATCATTACGATTATTAAAACAGCCCCTAATCTTGTCCCTAATTGTTGCCAGACTCTTCATGAAATTGGAATCACGGCTATGTGGGATAAAATCCCACACATTTTTTCCTTTAAGGTAAACGCCATTTATCCACTTTACCCACAAGGTGTCTTTCTTAAGATGAACATCCCAAAGTGTTCGGGAAAGTAGGGCTTGATTCCACACCTTTGCATTCCGTATGCCAAGCCCCCCTTCCTTCTTAGGGAGACAAATATCGTCCCACGCCACCTTGGCGTTGATGTGAGTTTTCTCGCACTTAAAAATGATGTAGTAAAGTGGTTGAAAGTACGAGTATCGTCTCCACAGGGACGGACAAAAGGGAATTAAAGATTAACTAAATTCAGCGAATAAAAATAAAATAAAATAAAATAAAATGCAAGTGTGCGAGATTGATTGATTGAATAAAAATTAAATTAAACTAATGTGAACAATTAACCTAGGGGGTTCTTTCTAATTAATGACGAAGGGAACAGGGATCGATTCCGGGGTAACCAGATTTCTGGCAGATCAGGCCTAATTACATGAAATTAATTTAATTGAGCCTAGCTAATCATTACTAAGTTCTTACCGCTCTCGCGGCGTAGAGTACAATAATTTAGGGGACCAGGCTGATCTCTCATGCGACAGGATCCTAAATTATTGCCAAGACGAGCGAGCTTACGGCCCCTTAATCGCTACTAATCTCTTAGCGAACGATTAAGTGTGTGTGAATGTGTCCTAGAACAAATTAGATCTCTCTTAATTTATTCTACATGCAATTGTAATTCTAGTGGCCATCTAGGTTACAAGAGATATCAGTTAAATTATTCAAACACAAATTAAACGGCATTCATGCAATTAGACCGACAAGAATCTAGCCATACATCATGATTAACCCCTTCATCAACCCCAAATCCCTAATTTAACTACTCACAATTCATAATTGAAGAATCAATAGAATTGGGATGAATAGAAATAATTGTCATTAATTAAAAAGATGAAACTTACAAAGAATCTCAGGGTCTTGAACAAAATAGCGGAAAAACACTGTAAAACACGTCCCTAAGCTTCTCTCTAGGTTTCCCCCCTCAAAACGGGGTTAGGGAGGCTTTATTTATAGAAAACAATGAGTTTGGGTCGAAAAAGGACAGATCCGCGGTACGCACGGAGCCTACGCACGGCGTGCGTTTCTGCCGTGCGTCCGACGGACCTGCGCGTGAAAATAGGCAACGCACGGAGTGCGTTCCCCTACGCACGTCCGTGCGTTGCTGCCAGTAGCCTTTCGCCATTTTAATGCCTTGAACGCACGGAGTGCGTACCCGGACGCACGGCCGTGCGTTGCTGCCAGTAGCCTTTCGTCGTTTTATCGCCTTGAACGCACGGCGTGCGTACCCGGACGCACGGCCGTGCGTTGTTGTCAGTAGCTCTCCCTCAATCAACGCCTTGGACGCACGGCGTGCGTACCCGGACGCACGGCCGTGCGTTGCTCATTACTTTCCTTGGCCGCTACTGCCACGCACGCACGCCGTGCGTCACTGTACGCACGGCCGTGCGTGGCCTTTCTTCTTCATTTTCTTCGATTTCTTCCGTTTTAAGCCTCCGTTTGACTACTCGATCGATCCAATAGCTCTTTCTTCATCAAAACATCATCGTGAATCTCTCGGTGGCCTCCAAATCTTCCAAATCTTTCTCGAATGCCTTCAAATCCTTCCCGAATGCCTCTCAAGCGCCGATTGCCGGACTCTAACTTCTTCAAATCAACTCCAAATGCTATGAAACTCGATCCAACGCCTGTTAAACACAACTTGAGCCAAAATTGAGACTTGCATCACCTTAAAGCCAGGAAAATCATCAAAATCCAACCCAGACACGCATCAAATGCGTGTCTAAATACGGACTTATCAGACTCCCCCACACTTAAGCTTTTGCTTGTCCTCAAGCAAATCGAACCACGGGACTTACGATAATCACCACACGAAATTTCAAATAGTTAGCATACACACATAGTTAAAGGGATATTCACAGGACAGCCAATCTAAACCAAGAAAATTCTTCCCTAAACTACACCTTTATACTCAAGCTAAACTATTTGACACAATTATTCACAACATCCTCAAAGTAATGACAGCCTACACAAATAAGCTAGCTACTGATCAGAAGGACTTGTGAATGTGATGGTGAATGGATAATAATGATAGTCCCTTTATTTTGAGAGATCGGAATATTCTAACAAAGACTCAATGCATTCAGGAACTTCAGTGCTATTCCTAGGAACAAGGAACTCAGTAGGCCACAAATTAGGAACAATCATTTAAACCTATGCAAAGAGTAGACATGGTGTACAACTAAGCTAAACCGTCTCGGCACATTTGTGCTTTGACGTATACTTGAAGTACGCGGAGGACTAAAACTAAATTTTGAGATAGCCTCCAAGTTCATTAATTAAATTCAGTTTCCCTTGTCATGTTGGCACGAGAACGCCGTTTCTTTCGAAAGATACCCAAGTCTCATCTTATGCTTTTTGACCGGGGCTCCCATTCTCTTTTTCGTAAGGCAAGAGGTCTAGCTATATTAATTTTTCATCTTTCGGATTCTCACTAGACATTACCCCATTCTAATCTCGGCCTCACCAAGGAAAAATAGCAATTTTAAGTTCATTAATTTAAAAGTGAATCCATGCCTACAATGCAATCCTCGAAAGTATCAAATTCCTAAAAAGTGACTGCTCTTACCCCATTTGGGGCATAGGAACAGTGCCAAAAATGGCTCCTACACAAAATTCCCTAAACTTGGCAAATTAATCCCTTAATTCCCTAAACATCAAGACTAAGTCAGAAATATTCACGGGTAAGGAACACAGGCCATTTGACTATGGAGCTTAATTAATTGGGTAACAAAGAATGGTCAGGCTCAAAATGGCTTCTCCTAAAGGATTTTATTCAGGTGGGGTAGATGATTAATGGAAAATTCAATGGGTGACTAATGCCTTCATCCTTTCAACAACTAGATTATAATGCAAGCAATTTAAGCCTAAACACTTCAAAGATGTTCTAAAAGCATAGTCAAAACGCTAGCCAGCTCACAAAGACACAGTTTAAAGAAAAATTTTCAAAAATTTTGCATGAATTTCTTATGAATATACAACTAACACCTGTGCATGCTAACTCTAATAATCTCATGTAACAACCACTGCCCGAATGCCCAATTCACTCCCCCACACTTAAACTTTGGCATCGTCCTCGATGACCAAATATGCATTATGTATTAGGGGTAAAGAGGAAAGGGTCACGCGTGCTCAAAATCAACTCAAGTTAACATTACGCATCGAGTAAAAAGAATCATGGAAACTCCCCTATAGCGCTGGCCGGTGCAGAACTAAATTGAGTCAATGATCCTCGGCACATCCTCCCTATAACAAGACCCTGGGCTGCAACAAAAACACAAAGCAAAACAACCAAACAACAAACAACGCAAAAGAAAAAACAAGAGTAGAAAAAAGCTCGGGTTGCCTCCCGAGAAGCGCTATTTTTAACGTCGTTTGCCCGACGCAACCACCTCATCAAAAAAAAAAAAACTCAATCAAAGATACTCCCTCTCAGAGAATTAGTCTTCCACAAATCAAAACTCCTATCAACAAATGCCCTGAGATGGCGTAAGACCTTAAATTCATGAAAACAAATACGCATCTCAGGGTCACCCGTAAAGCAAAAGAATGGATCGGGGCCTTTATCAGGCCCTTTAGCAAAGAATGGGTCAAAGAATGGACTAATCCCATTTGTGTCAGAAATTTTCCGGTCTAGAGCTTCCCTTTGTTCACTACGTAGATTAAGACATGCTGATTTTTGGGATAGCTCAAGCCCGGATGCAAGAAAAATAGGGGGGTCAGGACTGTCATCAAGAAACGTATACTTAAGGTGGGAGGGAAGAGACTTTAGATTTAATGGAGAAGGGCTAACAAAAAAGGAATCGGGCTGAAAATTTTTCTTCTCCACCTTATCTAAATCATCTTCTGTCCCCTGCACAGAACTAGCATCAGTTGAGTCCTCCTCTCCACTAATCATAAGACAATCGAAACTAGGGAGGGGCTCAAGATCCTCTGCTGCCACACTGTCCTCAAACAAAAGGTCTGAAAGGGCTTCATTAGAAAGCATGTTAGGGGTGCAATCCTCCACCATCGAATCTATGTCATCCAAATAAAAACACTCTCCGCTATCCTGACAGGGCCTCTTCATTATTTTGGACATATCAAAGGTGGCAGTCTCATCCCCAACGCGGAGGACAAGCTTACCATCTCCAACATCAATAAGTGCTCTGGCAGTTGCCAAGAATGGTCTGCCTAAAATCAATGGTACCTCTCGATCCTGATCCATGTCCAAAATAACGAAGTCTACGGGAATAATAAACTTGTCCACTTTAACCAACACGTCCTCAACAATCCCTTGGGGATATTTGACTGAACGATCAGCCAACTGAATGCACATACGTGTAGGTTTAAGTGGACCGAGTGCAAGCTTTTCGTACAAAGTGAATGGCATCAAATTAATGCTTGCACCCAAATCAGCCAAGGCCCTATCAAAAGAAAGATCACCTATTAAGCAGGGTATAGTAAAAGAACCTGGATCCTTAAGCTTCTCTGGTAGATCCCTCCTAATCACAGCTGAGCAGTCCACGTTAAGCCTCACAGTGGACGCTTCTTCCAGCTTCCTCTTATTTGTAAGCAGATCCTTCATGAACTTCGCGTACTTTGGCATTTGTGCTAGTGCATCCACGAATGGTATGTTAAGCTGGATTTGTTTCATGAGTTTCAGAAAATGACTAAACTGGTCACTATCATTCTTCCTTGTCAATCGTGCCGGATAGGGGAGAGGTGGGGTGTAATTCTTGACTGGAACGGGCTGTTTTGGTGCAGCCGCCACCTCTCTTCCCTCTTCTCTCTCCTTTTCTTCTTCCCGGGCAGCCGGTTCAACTTCAACTTCATCGGGCTTCTTTGTTGTGGCAGCAGGTTCTAGCTCTCTTCCACTCCTCAAAGTGATTGCCTGGACATGTTCTCTTGGGTTTGGCTCGGTATTACTAGGGAGGGATCCCTGAGGCCTCTCATAAACGGCTTTTGCAAGTTGCCCTATTTGATTTTCCATGTTTTGCATCCTTGCATTTGCTTGTTGATTATTTACCTCAGAAGCTTGTATGAAACGTTTGAGGGTTTCTTCCAAGCTAGCAAACTTTTGGTCAGTCTCTCTCATAAAATTTTCTTGCCCTGGCTGAGGTGCTTGGGGCTGATTATAGTTCCTAGATTGCTGCTGCTGCTGATTTCCTTGCCCGTAATTCCCCTGTTGGTGCTGTCCGTAGGGCTGATTGTAGTAGCCCTGTCGCTGATAATTCATCGCATCAACTTGCTCTACTCCAGGGGCTGCCGAGTATGCCATCATAGTGCATTCATGTGGCGAATGGAGTCCCCCACACATAGTACAAGAGGGACTAATAGGAACGGGGGCTACCATATTCACACCGGGCACCGAGAGAGCAAGTTCCGTCTTCTTTTGATTGTCTTCCACAGTTGTAGCAAGCTTCTGAATCAAACTGGTCAAAGCATCTACCCTTGCAGAAAGGGCAGAATTCTCACTGATCTCGTACAATCCCGGGGCCTTCTGGTGAGGTGTGTCCCGAGAGCTGTACCATGAAGCATTATTTGACACAATCTTCTCAACTAATTCTTCCGCCACCTCAGATGGTAATTGAGGAAAAGCTCCTCCACCCGAAGCATCAAGCATCATCTTCCCTTCATCGTTGAGTCCACTATAGAAACAAGATAGAACCTCACAATCAGTCATCTTGCCTTGAGGGCAAGCTCTTCTCAGCACTTTGAATCTCTTCCACGCCTCAGCTAGTGTTTCCAAAGAACCTTGCTTGAATTCCTGTAGCTGCTTCTTTAACTTTATGGCCTTTGATGTTGGGAAGTATTCTTTTATGAAGGCCTTGTGCAGCTGATCCCAAGTCTGAATGTGGTGATGTGGATTGCTATCCAACCACCTCTGCGCGTCATCCCTCAAAGAGAAAGGGAATAGTAGCATCCGTACCTGATCATCATCTAGCCCAGGGATCTTGAAAGTTTGGCACATCCTCAAGAATTTGGTAATGTGTGCCACTGGATCTTCTGTAGAGCTCCCTCCAAACTGATTATTGGACACCATGTTAATTACTGCTGGGTTGATCTCATAGCGGGGTGCAGTAATTCCCTGCACTTGAATGCTGTCATACTCTGTGATGTTCGGAGTAAGGAAATCTGCAATGCTCTCTCCCTGATAGAGCGGATTGTTATATGGGACATGATGTTGGAATGGAGGAGCCTGATATCTCGGCTGATGAACTGGTTGGGGTCTAATGGGTTGTGGATGGATGACATTTGGCTGCGGTTGGGGTTGATGGAATTGTTGATATTGGGTTTGGAAGGGCTGATTTTGTGGCTGAGTAAGGGGTGGATTTTGTGTGATTGGCGGTTGGTTCTGTCTGGACTGAAAGACTGGATTGTTTTGCCCTAGACCTTGCATCCCAAAGGTTTGATTTTGAAACGTGGTTTCGGGAGCAATAGAAGTATTTTGAAAGAGCTGATAGAGTGGTGGAAGATTTAGTTGTGGAGTGGACTGATTTTGGGCGAAGAATGGGGTACGGAGATTTTGATACCCCGGATAAGCTCTAGGTGAATTTTCTTGTGAAGACTGGGGAGAGGTATTAACATAAAAATCCAGATTACCAGAAGTGGTTTGGACCTCAGACGTCCCAGCTATTCCAGATGCGGATGGTTGATCCATGGTTGCGTTCTTCTCAAGAAAAACCTTGCGGTTCTGTCTAGCAAACTTCTCAATCTCAGGATTAAGAGGGACAAGTGATTCTCCCTTCTTTGAGCGTGTATGCATAAACAAATCTGACCTGCAAGGTTAGCAGACAAAAATCCTACGAAAAACTAAAACAAGTCGCTAAAATTAATTAACCCTTAAATCCGACACCGTCCCCGGCAACGGCGCCAAAAACTGATGTGAGTTTTCTCGCACTTAAAAATGATGTAGTAAAGTGGTTGAAAGTACGAGTATCGTCTCCACAGGGACGGACAAAAGGGAATTAAAGATTAACTAAATTCAGCGAATAAAAATAAAATAAAATAAAATAAAATAAAATGCAAGTGTGCGAGATTGATTGATTGAATAAAAATTAAATTAAACTAATGTGAACAATTAACCTAGGGGGTTCTTTCTAATTAATGACGAAGGGAACAGGGATCGATTCCGGGGTAACCAGATTTCTGGCAGATCAGGCCTAATTACATGAAATTAATTTAATTGAGCCTAGCTAATCATTACTAAGTTCTTACCGCTCTCGCGGCGTAGAGTACAATAATTTAGGGGACCAGGCTGATCTCTCATGCGACAGGATCCTAAATTATTGCCAAGACGAGCGAGCTTACGGCCCCTTAATCGCTACTAATCTCTTAGCGAACGATTAAGTGTGTGTGAATGTGTCCTAGAACAAATTAGATCTCTCTTAATTTATTCTACATGCAATTGTAATTCTAGTGGCCATCTAGGTTACAAGAGATATCAGTTAAATTATTCAAACACAAATTAAACGGCATTCATGCAATTAGACCGACAAGAATCTAGCCATACATCATGATTAACCCCTTCATCAACCCCAAATCCCTAATTTAACTACTCACAATTCATAATTGAAGAATCAATAGAATTGGGATGAATAGAAATAATTGTCATTAATTAAAAAGATGAAACTTACAAAGAATCTCAGGGTCTTGAACAAAATAGCGGAAAAACACTGTAAAACACGTACCTAAGCTTCTCTCTAGGTTTCCCCCCTCAAAACGGGGTTAGGGAGGCTTTATTTATAGAAAACAATGAGTTTGGGTCGAAAAAGGACAGATCCGCGGTACGCACGGAGCCTACGCACGGCGTGCGTTTCTGCCGTGCGTCCGACGGACCTGCGCGTGAAAATAGGCAACGCACGGAGTGCGTTCCCCTACGCACGTCCGTGCGTTGCTGCCAGTAGCCTTTCGCCATTTTAATGCCTTGAACGCACGGAGTGCGTACCCGGACGCACGGCCGTGCGTTGTTGCCAGTAGCTCTCCCTCAATCAACGCCTTGGACGCACGGCGTGCGTACCCGGACGCACGGCCGTGCGTTGCTCATTACTTTCCTTGGCCGCTACTGCCACGCACGCACGCCGTGCGTCACTGTACGCACGGCCGTGCGTGGCCTTTCTTCTTCATTTTCTTCGATTTCTTCCGTTTTAAGCCTCCGTTTGACTACTCGATCGATCCAATAGCTCTTTCTTCATCAAAACATCATCCTGAATCTCCCGGTGGCCTCCAAATCTTCCAAATCTTTCTCGAATGCCTTCAAATCCTTCCCGAATGCCTCTCAAGCGCCGATTGCCGGACTCTAACTTCTTCAAATCAACTCCAAATGCTATGAAACTCGATCCAACGCCTGTTAAACACAACTTGAGCCAAAATTGAGACTTGCATCACCTTAAAGCCAGGAAAATCATCAAAATCCAACCCAGACACGCATCAAATGCGTGTCTAAATACGGACTTATCAGGCGTACTTCCCTCCCCAAAGGAAAATTCGGCAAATGGATACAATACGGTCCAATATCGTTTGCGGCATGGGGAAGACTTGGAGCCAAAACGATTGGACCCCTTGGATCACCGATCGTATTAGCTCAATCTTTCCAGCATACGAAATGGATTTCGTATTCCATGCCAGCAAAAAGTCCGAAATGGTGTCAAGTAAGGGGGCATATTGTGCCACCGAAACCTTAAGTGGCGCAAGAGGAATTCCAAGGTATTTGACCGGAAAGGTTCCTTGCCCAAAGTCAACAATATCTAGAATATTTTGAAGATCAAATTCATTTACGCCACCCACAAAAATATTTGATTTGTTATAATTCACCCTTAGGCCCGATGCGTCCCCAAAATCTTGTAGGGCCTTAACAAGTATTTCAATGGAAAACTTATCCCCCCTAGAAAATAACATTAGGTCATCCGCGTAGGCCAGGTGTGAAATATTCAGTGGCGCACATTTCGGGTGAAATTTAAAATTCGGTTCCTTGGTTCTCAAATTGAGTAACCGGGAAAAATATTCGAGGCAAAGGACAAACAAAAGCGGGGACATAGGGTCACCTTGACGAATGCCCCTTTTCCCTTCAAAAAATCCATACAATGACCCATTCAAAGAGACAGAGAATGAGGCCGTAGTAACACATTCCATTATCCATCCTACAAATCTCAAAGGGAAGCCCAATCCCTTGAGAACAAAGTCAAGAAACTCCCACGATATGGTATCATAGGCCTTACGCAGATCCACCTTGATCATACATCTCGGTGAGATCCGCTTCCTCGTGTATCCTCTAACAAGTTTCTGGGCAAGGAAAATGTTATCAACCATGAGGCGGCCATCAACAAAGGCACCTTGGGCATGATCAATTAACCCCGGAAGACACGGAATTAACCTAGCCGCAATGACCTTTGTGATGATCTTGTATAAAACATTCGTACATGAGATGGGTCTATATGTAACTTTACTCTCTTACACTATTGGATGTGTGATCGCTAAATTCGTCCACATTAGGCGTCCAGTGACGTCCACTTTTGGGACTAAATTTCTAATTTTCTCATTTAAAACATCAAATTTACTACAATCATATGTATTAAGACTCTAAGTCCAAGTCCAATCAATTAAATTAACAAAATAATGCAAATCAAATATTAAAGTTTCTTAAATAAATTGAAAAGAGTCATCAATACATGTAATATGCACCAATATCACCTAAAGAAAACTCCAATTGAATATAATTAATCAAATGGCCTACCATAAACTCAAAACTTGAAATGGTCTTCAAGTCATTATAAAACACAGAATTAAATGTACAAAAAAGTTGATAAATGAAATTAATTTTGCCCTGCAAAACTGAAATCTTTACTAAAGTATCACAATAATAAACACTTATTCTCTTACAAAAATGCTTAGAAAGAATTGAATGTCAATTTTCCAAAAACACATTGTACTCCTTCCCTCCAATTGTAAGATACATTTCGATTTGGTGCAATCTTAAAAACAAGAATAAAGTTGTTGTTTTACATTTTTTTTAACCTTCAAAAAGTAAGAAAATGTAGTATGCATTGAAAAAGAAGTATATTGTGAAACGATAAATAAAGAATAAAGTGAGAAGTAAAAGTCTACTAATTTAAGAAAGTTTTCATATTTTTTAAACATAATGAAAGTAACGTGTGCCTTGCAAAATAGGATGAAGAGAGTAATAAAACCAGGTGAAAAAAATATGGACCATGGATTTCAATTCTGTAGTGCAATCACATTGGGCCGCAATGAAAGTGAGATTTCAATTCACTAGGAAAATCTACCACGTAACCCAACAAAATAATGTGGTCATATTGGATCGTATCGGAATATCAACACTAATTATTTTCTTATTTTGTGCGAATGTAAAAATAAATTACATTACGTCTATTGTAATACGCATCGCAATGGCCGCAACCACAGTGACCGCAATCGAAATGCTACCACAATAAAAATTTTGATATAGACTAATTAAAGAGTAAATATATAATGTTTGATGATGGATAATTTGATATTTTTATTCATTTAACAAATACAAATTTATTTTGAATGTAGGTAGCTCATAGTATTTTTCATTTTAACTCATATCAAATTTGAAGCGCTACCGGGGCATTGCCCCGGGCTTTACACTAGTTAGACACAAAACGAATAACATAAGCGTGAAGCGGTCAATTTAGTAGCACTATTTACCAAATACATACACCCAAATGTCCCAACCATAGAGCTCACAAACAAAATAAACACAAAGAAACAACAAGCATTAATCCCAAAAGATAAACAAGTTAAATAAAAAGTAAAACTCAAAATAAACACTTAATATTGACTATGACACACAGAGCCCGCCCCCTTCCCATTTTTGACTAAAATGTTCTCCAAAGCACGGCGTAGCTAGATTACGAGTATTACTCAATATGAACTGTTGCGCTTCTAATATGCTCCTCCATATAAGAGCCTGTTTGGTAGCACGAAAATCGGCTGATTTGACTGATTTTGCTGAAATTATTTTTAAAATATATTTTATTAATAAAATAAAGAAAAATTATATGTAAAAATAGCTAAAATGGTCATCTACAGTAACTTCAGCCAACACACCAGAAAAGTAATTTAAATCTTACTTTTTTTTTGCTTATTACGCAATTTAGCGCGCGAAAGCAAAAGTTACGTGTTTGGTGAAAAGTTGGCTGATAAGCCGAAAAATAGTGTTGCCAAACGGTCTGACGGACTTTGAGCCAATTTTAGCCATCAATAAAGTGTTATCCGGAGTTTTTTTTGAAGCAAAACTAGTTAATTGTCATTAATCAAATCGTGGTCTAACGAAACAGAAATACAAGTGGGAAAATGATAAAGCCAAACATAGCGGTCACACATAGAAACAACAGCTCTTGCAAGATCATGAGCTACCCGATTTGCAGATCGCTTCATATGAGTAAAATAAATACTAGTAAAACTAGTCGACATATCTCTAATATCATCAATGATCACCCCCGAGAGCGAACCATCAGAACCAGAATTAATACTTGAGATAACCTGAAGCGCGTCGGACTCTACATTAATATAGTCCCAGCCAGATTGTTTTAGCCAGCTTAGTGCCTCCCTAATAGCCAAAGCCTCAGCAACCTTCGGAGAAGAACCATACCATTTATCAACTCCACCTGCAATGAACCTGCCCTCACTGTCTCTGACCACCCACCCCAAGCCGCAAATATTACCATCACCTATCGATGCGTCTGTATTCAACTTCAGTCGGCCCACCTCCGGTCTTTTCCAGCTCGCCAAAACATTGCTCCGTTGCTTGGTCTTCATACATCCCTCTACCGCTCTACGCCAACCATCCAGAAAAGCCTTTGGTTTGGCTACAATTCCTTTTGCAATAACCTCCTTTTGCTCCCAAACCATCATATTCCTAGCTCGCCATATACTCCAGATGAACATAACAAATAGACAACATCTTTCTTCATCCCTGCTAAGAAAGAAACTCTCTACCCACTGTACAAAATTAATACCTGCATGAGCTTGGACGTTCCACCGTACTAGATTCCATACCTCAGTAGCCCTCTGACATAACCCGAAGATATGCACCAGGGATTCAGTCTCACGTGAGCAAAACGGACATGCCGCTTGGCAATTCACCCTTCGGAGTAAGAGTTTGTCTACTGTCGGAAGAAAACCGGCACATGCCTGCCAGAAAAAAGCCTTTACTTTTGGTGGGATATAAAACCGCCACATTCGGGCCCACAGCGCTACTTGGACTGCCTGAGTTACCAAGCTCGACGTGTCCAACGTTAGCCTCCAATACAAAAAGCAACAAATTAAGGTGTGGGAAAAAACAATTTTCTCCTCTCAAGTAATATTTTTATTATCTTATTTTATTTTTATTTGTCACTTGGTACGTATTTCTTTTGGGAAAGTCTCTTACTCGAGTACTATTTATAACATTTTCATATCGGGATACTTTTTCAAGAGAAATTTGCTCTCCGTAGTACCAAATCAATGCTCTTTTACGAAAAGGGAACTACCTCATGTTTTTCTATTCGTATCACCTATTTAGTTCTATATGAGGAAACTTAATTATAGCTTTCCAAATTTACCCTTGACTTGAGTACTCGATCTGAAGAAGGAAAAAATACAGTGCGATTTCCGATCCCAGACTTCCCCAATTCTCGTTCTCGTCTCTCCCTCTTCACCAGTATTAAAATCAATCTGGAAGTTTGAAATCGATCGACATGGCCTCACCAACCTGGTTTTGGCCGGATACATGGCTAAATTCCGGCAGATCTTGGCTCCGAAGTCTACGGCTCCACCATTAATGGCCTTCGACGATTTTACAGAGGGCTGGATTACCTATTTTGCTTCATTGCAGAGTTTTTGACAACCACTCGATGTAATTTGATCATTAGATATAGTGAACTCACTGAATTGTATATATATTGTTATACGTGACCTGCTCTGTTATTGAGCTATTATCAGAACTTATTGTCTGTTTAATGACTACTTACTGTCTATGTATTGCCTGCTATTGAACTATTATTAGAACTTATTATCTGTTTACTGACTACTTAATGTCTATGTATTGTCTAGTGTTTGCAAGTTTGATTTTGGATCTAGTTTCTTCAAAAGTTTTGCAGAGTACCTGGTGGTCTTGTGAAAATATGAAATAGAAGATCGAAATTGGCAAAGTCAATGTCCAAAATCAAAAAAGAAGAAGAGGAGGAGGAGGAGGAGGACACCTTTGGCGGTGGCATCCGATGAAGTCAACCGAGCAGCTATCTGGTGCGTCGGCGATGGTGATTTCGACATCGGTAATGGTGAAATCTGCGGCGGTGGTGATGGCCCGGCAGTCGGTCGATCTAAATTGAGAAGAGGAGAGAGGTCACGATGATGTTTGTTTGATGCGCAAAGGATGTTTGTTTGATGCGCAGGGGGATTTAAAACAAAGGGGGCAATTTGGTCAAAGCAGGTGTACTTAGGTCTTATGCTAATTTATAGTCTTAATTTTGGAAAATTAGTATGATTAAGTCTTATTTGTTGAAATCTCCCTACTTTTTCGTACTCTTTATGTTTGTCTTTCCAACATTTTTCATGTTTTTCTTCTCATATTTTTTTTATTTTTCTTCGGATTTAATGCACCAAACCCCTTGTGAAATATGAATTTGACACATGAGCGCCCCTGTGATTTAACAAATGCATTAGGGTCTGTTTGCAACAGCTTCTGCTTTTAAAAAAGTGCTTTTTTTAATGAAATGGGGAGAAGTGATTAAATAAAAGTTGATAGTGTTTGAGAAAAAAGTGATTTTGAAAAGTAAAAGTGGGTAGTGTTTGGTAAAATAAGTGCTTTTTGTGTAATAGAAAAAGTAAAAGCACTTTTGACGCGGAAGCCGAGAAAAATAAAAGTTGTAGTGTTTGGAAAAATAAGTGTTTTTTTAAAGCCAAAAGCTGAGAAGTGCTTTTTTAGAAGGGGTTGCAAACCAACCCTTAAACATCTCTGTGTTATAATTCTTAATGCGCAAAACCTCTTCTATGAACAAATTTAATTGTCAAATAAATGAAAAATAGATTTTTTTTGTATCATTTAGAAATTTTGACAAAGTTACTTGCACATGCAATGATGCAATCATATTATTAAGAAAAGTAATTTCAAAATTGTAAAATCATTCTTGGAGCGGATTTTGCGCATTAATAATTAAAATACAAGAGAATTTGAAGCATTTTTTAAATCACATAGGGCACCGAATTTATGTCACTAGGGTTCGGTGCATTAAACCCCCATTTTTCTCTTTAAATTTCACTTTTTCTACCTAATTATTACGGAGTAATCGCTACTACATTTATCAATCTCCATTTAAATCCAAAGTGACAAGTATTAAAGAATGAAGAGAGTATTCGACAACTGTTTTGCTATTTTTGTTAATAGAAATCTAACCAAATATAATTGAGAACTTTTTAAAGCAAAATTAAGAGCCCGTTTGGTGATCCTGATTTTCAGCTTATCAGGCTTATCAGTCAATTTTTTAACCAAACACGAAACTTTTGATTTCGCGCGCTGAATTATGTAATACTTCGTAATAAGAAAAAGTAAGGTTGAAGTCACTTTTCTGACTGTATTGGCTGAAGTTACTATAGATGACCATTTTAGCAATTTTTTATACAATACGTAATATTTTTTATTTTATTAATAAAATATACTCCGGGGTATTATAAATATAGTTTTTTATGAATCAGCAGAATTAGCTCTGTCACTTTAGGCAAAATTTCATAAATTTCAATGAAATCAGCCGATTAAGCGGATTTGAGTCTTATTAAACTTAGATCATATCTCATAGATGACGAATCACTTCAAGGTACGTGGTAAAAATGTCACGCCCCAGACCGCATCTGAGCGCGTGTACAACCGCCGTATGACTAAATGACGTCACTCGCAAGTCAACGCGACTTAGTCACACAAGGCGTCCATGAACATAGTCCATACCATACTCAGTAAGTAAATGTTGAGGTTTATTCCCGAAGATCCGAAAGCCCAACACAAGCCTCGGATATTGTAGGTATATAGGGTTGGATTAAAATGTGTATAAAATATAAAACAGTGAGATATTTGCTCAACTCAGAAGCCTACCGATATTCAATAAATATGTGATTACACTGAGACTACCCGAACGGTAGATGAATATGAGATTACAAGGATAGGAGATGTAAATCTATTGCTAAGCTCTGAGTATTAAAATGCTAACCCCCTTACAATGATCTAAACATGGATATTTATACTAAAATGGGGATGGGTAAGGTGGACACGTGGTCGAATCTGGTAGGCTATCACCTCTGCCATGTAAGCACCCATGCCCCCACTTGCTGCCGCCATGATCTAGCATTAAATGCGGCCTCCACTTGTTGATTGCCCGTTCGGTCAAGGGGTTCGGTGTGTGGGACCCCGTCATAGGTGATAATTTCTACCTGAAGTATCCCGAACGCCGATCGATATTTGGGCCTTGATACCTTGGCATAATCGTTACCCAGAATGTTCCAAGTATAAGTTTTATCCCGAATGCCGTTCGGGAGTTCTTTGGGCTTGCCGCTTCTTCCCGGATTTGGGCCTAGGGATATTGGGCCTGGACCCAATATCCCAACACTAGTCCCCCACTTCCTATGTCTCGAACGGTAGTGAGTGCATAAGGAAGTATAAGTTTATTGCCCGAATGCTGTTCGGGTGAGTATCGGATGGCATTCCGCCGGTTCCCGAGGCATATTTTGACGGTTATCTGCAACTGCCGTTTCACTTCTCCGATAAACGTCATGATTACTTGAGAAGGATTCTCTATGCGACACGTGTCTCTGTCATCATTACAAAAAACGTGTCCTCTTCTGATTGGCAGCTGAATCGGCGTGACAGAGTATAAATGGGCTCTTTTGGTTTTGATTCTGGGTTTCGAAATTTGATATCTCCGGCTTAGTACTCTGCCTTCTCTCTAGAGCTTCTTCCGCTGCTTCTGTTCAGGTATCCTTCGAACTCCCTTCTACTGTTTAGTTCCCTCGTTCGGTGAGAATGGCACCCCTTCGTTCATCTGAACCCTCTACTTCCGGCACTGCAATCCCAGAGGAAAACCCCAATGATGTGCTGTAAGTTGTCCCTATTCCGGCGGAAGTTAACGGTGATGATTCCTCTTCCTCCTCCGACGTTTACCCTGATGGCACCAAATCGGGGGATGAATTGGAAGTTATGAAGGCCGGTCCTCCAAGCGGCGTTCCCTGCCATAAGCTTGACCTAGCCCTGATTAGGCTTAGGCGCCAAAAGCTCACGGCCCAGAACCGGGCCCAAATCCAGATGTTACTTCCTGATTCGGTGAACTTCCGCCTCCAATCGGGGCTCCACCCAATGCGCCACTTCCCAGGGATGGTCGTGGTCCATTTTGATTCCCTTAAGGCTGGCCTTAGGTTCCCCCTTCACCCCTTCTTCGTTTCCCTCTTAAATTATTACAATATAGTGCCAGCCCAAATAATGCCGAACTCCTACCGGGCAATGGCTGGTTTTATTTGTCGTTGCGTGGAAGCTAAGGTGACCCCTTCCTTAGATCTGTTTCATTACTTTTTCTCGGTCATCCCACAACAAGCCCAGGGCTATCTTGTCGCGAGTTCCCGATCAGGTCATATTTTGTTCTCCAAGGCTCCCTCCTCCATCAAGGAATGGAAAGATCGGTTCTTTTTTGTATCTGTCCCAAACGGCCTAATCCCAAGAAAGTGGAATGCCTTTCCGCCAAAGTCCCCCGAACCGTTCATCTCTGAAGACCTTAGCCAGGATATCATTGCTGTGGAGGCGGGTGGTTGCTTCCAGATTATGCCATATCTGACTCCCGAACGGCTTATTAAAGCCGGGATAGGTACTGCCCGTATTCCTGGGTTTCTTGACTGAAAACCAAGTACCATGGTCCGGGCGGTCCTTCCCGTGTGAGAAACAATTTTGTTTATCCATGTGCGAACCGCTCGGTACTAATTTTGCACTTTGTTTGTTTTGCCAGCTCCTCAGCAAGGCGAATCAGAGTCCGAAGGAGATAACCCCGAACAACCGGCCATGGATGATAGCAGGCTATTCACTGTGGGATTTGATGATGAGCCACCAACTTCTCCTCCCAAGCAGCAGAGGAAGACAAAGAGGAAAAGGTTGAGGAAGGCCGATCAGGGGACATCCTCTCAATCCGCCCCCGTCCCCGAGCAGTCTGAACCTGTTCGGGATGTAGAACCTGTGCAGCAGGTTGCTCCTGACCAGCAAACTCATGCTGACACGCTGATGGATCAGCTTTTTTCTGACCAGCAGTCCCACCATTTTTCTGCTGAGGAGGTGGCTGCCCATCAGGCTGACTTGGCTAGTCAGTTCGAGCGGATCTCCCTCT